ACCTGCGATTCACAAATTGGTATCAGAGCTTGAGTTATGGAGAGTGTGAGCACTTCCAGTATGTCGTTGCCCCGCCTGGTTTTTTTTGTTCTTAAAATTGTTTTGTAGAACAATTATGGAAACAATTATTTTCTATATTTTTTATTTTAAAAGTTAAAAACCAAAACAGAAAACAAAAACAACTCAGACATGTTCTCTAAATTTGATTCTAAAAACAAAAAAACAATTACAGTTTTTAAAATATTTTTTACAAAACAGGTTTTACCAAACGAGTTTTTTTGTTTTTTTTTTTCTGAAAACAAAAAAATTATTTTTGAAAAACATTATTCAAACAGAACCTTAGTCTTGAGATCCGTGAAAACTAAAGCATCAGTTTCATTTTCAAAGCCACAGGTGATCTTCATTCAAATTTCAAAGAGTGATGGTGGGGGCCATGTCAAACAATTTAAAGAAGGGTTTTATAATTCTCATTTAACATGAGAATTCAAATTTTCCTACACACTCTTCGATTTTCGTGCTGACATGGGTCCTACATATAATTTTTTCTAACACATGGGTCTCACATGCTTTTTATCTCTACAACATGAGAATTGAATTCTCATTCAACATGAGAAAATCAAACCCCTTTAAAGAAATATACTTTTTAAGCGGCACCAATTCGAAGTGCAGAAGAAACCACGTACTCATCAGAGGTTCAGCCATGTAAAATTTCAATCTTGAAATCAAAGCAATGTGGACCCCACGGATAGCATGGAAACAAGAAATAAAAAATGTAGCACCAATGTTATCCTCACGTGAAGTTTGATTTTGAAGTACGGGCACACTAAAGCAAACCGATGAAGGCTTCAATATATATATATATATATATATATATAGGGAAGGGATCATTTGACTCCAGAGTAAGACTTATAAGTCTTACTCTTCATCCTAGCCGTTGATTTCTGTCAATCCAACGGCTATAATTTAGGGAGTTATATTAATTATTTAATTATTAATTACACTATAAATGACAACCGTTGATTTCCGTCCATCAACGACTGAGATTGAGAGTAAGACTTACAAATCTTACTCTGGAGTCAAAAGAACCCTCCCATATATATATATATATATATATATATATATATTCACTCGACGGATCCGTCATTTTGCAAAGGCACTTTCAAATTCGGCAACAAAATTCACGTGCAGTGCAATGTTACAAGACCAGCCTCCTCAGACAGTTTTTTCACCCGCCCAACAGTAAGACCAAGTTTCAACTCTCCCAACATGGAGATCAAGATTTCATCACGCTCAACAGGAAGGCCACCATTTCATCACGTCCAACATGGAGACCAAGCATTTCATCCCGCCCAACAAAGAGACCAACATTTCATCACGCCAACAAGAAGACCAACATTCGGCAACAAACTAAAAGCTATACAACCAACACTTGTATGCCAAGTGTCCAACGACGCTCACATGGTCAGGTTTTATTTCAGCAATAACATCTATTCACTAGCATATATATGTTTCTCTCTATCCCATCTTTATAAACTTCATATGATTATAAGTTCCATATGAATTGCTTAAACAATCTACGAAGGCCAGGACGGTTCTCACCCCTGGTATACTACGAAGGCCAGGACGGTTCTCACCCCCGGTAATTACAAAGGCCGGGACGGTTCTCACCCCCGGTAATTAAGAAGGTCGGGACGGTTCTCACCCCCGGTACACTATGAAGGTCGGGACGGTTCTCACCCCCGGTACACTATGAAGGCCGGGATGGTTCTCACCCTCAGTTAATAAAGTCTGAGATGTGCTACCCCTCGGCAAAAGTCCTAGATGGCCGGCGCCTGGCCAACACCCCACCTAGGCACATTTTTATCGTCATTCATACACTATTATACTAGTTGTCGCAGGATTTAAATTGGAGCAACCAGACATCAAAGTCACAAGTCATTGGGCGTTATTCATTACACATTTATATCGTCGTTGTTAAAGAAGGGAGCATACATATCTATCATCTATGAAGACTACCAGCCTCTTTCTCTCTTGGAACACATTATCTTCTCGGGAAGATCTCATCTACTACATTATTTCTCACCTGCAAGTTTTATTTCAGAAGAAATGAGCATATATATTTATCATCAGGATCTTCATCACCTCTCCCTCTTGGAACAATTATCTTCTTCAGAGGTTTTCATCTACTACATTATTTCTCACCTGCGAGTTTTATTTCAGAAGAAATGAGCATATATATTTATCATCAGGATCTTCATCACCTCTTCCTCTTGGAACAATTATCTTCTTCAGAGGTTTTCATCTACTACATTATTTGTCGCCATCAAGATTTATTTCTGAAGAATGGAGCGTATATATTTATCATCAGGATCTTCATCACATCTCTCTCTTGGAACAAGTATTCTCCCCAGAAGCCTTCATCTGCAACGTTATTTTATTATTATCATACGGTCAAGACGTCTTTATTTCAGCTGTTAAATTCTCCAGGCTGCTTGATTCCACATGGGCATTATTTATCATGAGAATCTCCATCTCTCTCTATTTTGGAACGCATCATCCTCTCCGGAAGATCTCATCTACTACTTTATTTATCTCACGAAGCTCGGATTTGCAATCCTGTCGACATTATTTTATTATTATCAGACGGTCAAGACTTTCTTGTTCCAGTTGTCAACATCTACAAGGTACTTGATTCAACATGGGCTCGCCAGCTTATTCTTACAATTAAATTATTACTACTTCAACAACATTTGAAGACCTTTCTCAATAACAAGACGCATCTTCGAAGACAACAAAGTTCAGCACAATTGCAAGCCATAATAGAAGATTCTCTTGAAGTATTTAAGCATCACCAATCAGACAATTCATACTCGACGACAACAAATAAATAACTCATGAAGGCCGACGTATTATCGATCGGTTACATTATATCCTGCTTAGAACACTACATACTACGAATAACTGGCCTAAGCTGCCATACATCTTGGCACCCTTGCTTCGCAAAGCTACCAAGCTGGGGGGCTTCTGTTCTGGATAGCCCACATGCATAGGCCCACTACTGGGCCCAATCTAAAAGGCCCACTCCTATAAGGCATCATAGGATGCCCCCTCTTCCCCATGCACACCAGCTGCCCCTGCACAAGGGCAGGGGTTCAGCATGCCTAGCCTGAAAAGGCTAGGCTGGCTAGGTTGGCTAGAGCTCTTGCTCTAAATACCCCCCTCTCACATTGAGGAAGGGATCTCTTCTTCTCCATTCAGCCTCTACGGCTGTGACCATGGAGAGCCACCTTAGCCACTTCCACACACACCCCCCTTTATGCACCATGAGAAGCTCCACTAGTGCTTGGTCTCTACCATTGCCACTATGGAAACCCCCTATATCAACATACTTCACCCTCACGGGAGACATCTATGTATCACTATCAGTACAGTGTAATGGTACTTGAGATAATTAGCGGGAGGAAGATTAGGGGATTTTATGACCCACATCATCATCTTAATCTTCTCCATGTAAGCTTAAAATATATCTTTCTTTCAGAACTTCATGTATTGTCTTTGGCTGCATCTCATCAAATAACTTTGTTGTGTATCTCAATCAAACACTTAAGATATGCTTGTTTGGAAATGTGTAAAACAAGGAGGTAAAACTAGAATAAGAATTGAACATAAACTTGTTTATGGCTTTTATGATTCAGGCATGGAGACTATGGAATGAAGAAAGACCCCTAGAGCTAATAGATGAGTTATTAGCTGATTCAGTTATCCCATCGTAAATATTACGATATATTCTGGTGGTTATAATGTTGAAGGGCCAAAAGGTAGTCCCAAAGCCAAGCCAGCCCGGGTTCTACGCAGGAAAAGATAATCCACTTTGTTCCGAATCTTCAAAAAATTGTGAAAGGTGTTCAACAAATGAAATTTCTATCTCATTATTGTAGACTAGATAGAATACCACTGGGCTTATGGTGCTACATAGATGGAATGATATGCGGCCAAACTAACAGACATGTAATTCAGTGATAAGTGGGAATCGGTTTCTCTAATTCCAAAATATTTTGGAAAATAGATTTTCTCATGTGTAATTTAACATGATCATGTAATGTGGGAGGATCTTAACCATTAATAATTAAATCAACAGTGATGATCGTGTAACTTCTTATCCTTATATTTTTTCTCTCTCCTCTCTTATCACCATTAACTCACCTATGTATAGTTATGATTGCCCCACATGACATAGTCATATTAATTAACACATGAGAGGATAAGTACCAATATTTTGTTTCCTCTTGCAGAGCAACGTTCTTTTGCTTTCGATATTCGGGTGCAAACAGGAATGCGTGCATAATGGAGAGGCCGTGCAAGGCAGTGTGTACATATTTTTGTGTGCCTTAAAAGTGAATTTTTCGAGAATATATTTAGAACCCGAGAAATTTGTGTGCCTGAAAATCACAATTACAAGAAATATACTGAAAGTGAATTTTCCAAAAATTTGATCAAAAAGCAATTTTGTAGATCAAAATATAATCCTAAATGTTCTGAAGTTTTTTGATTTCGTGTTTAGTTAATTGTCAAATATTACTTGAAATAAAGAGTGATTTTAAAAACTGCACTGCTGATGTAGAAGAAAATATTCGGTATTCTTGAATGATATTTTACCTTATGGAAGATAGAGGATAAATATCTGGAAATCATGATTTTCAAAAATACGATGGAAAAATAAGTTTTTCAGTAATATTATCAAAAAATTATTTGATAAGTCAAAATATTTCAAAAATAATAGGTTAATTTTTCTAGTACTATATTTTGTTATCTTTGTCTGAAAAATTAATACACAGTTTTCCATCATCTAAAATTCTTGAAATACCACACTCTAAATGGTATTTTTCAATGGTATTTTATTTTAGAAAATACACAAATAAAATCTCGAAAAAATAATTTTCCTAAAAAAAATTTCTCCAATGTGCTACCAAACATGAAATTCTAAAAAACCAACCCTCACTTTCCGAAACATCTAAAAAATGGTCCTATCAAACACCCCCTTTACAAATCAAAACCTTAAAAAAATTACATTTTCGAAAAAAAAAAATTACAATACTTATGCCAAATTTGGATAGATAAAAATTCTCAATGTCACTTCCCTCGGAAATCTAAAAAAACTCATCGCGCCTCCTAAATAACATTACAAAGGATATATCACTACCATTTTCCATTCATAGACATGATTGCATCAAATTGTCCACTCGAGTTTGGAAACACAAAACTTATCCCATTAAATAATTAATTAGGATGAATAAAGCTACAAATAGTTGAAAAAGCAAAAATTATACCGAAAAAAGTACGGAGCTGATGACTACAGATTTATTCCGCTTTAGTCTCATTTTTCTTCTTCTTTCCTTTCTTTTTGCTTGGCATTTCAGCTGATTCTTCTTGCTCTGCGTGCTTTTTTCTCTTTTTCTTCTTTTCTCCTCCATTCAAATTGCTGTCCCCATTCTGCAACTCAACATGCTCAGAAGAATCCTTCCTCTTTTTCTTCTCCTTTTTCCCAACCTCATGCTCTGGTACCTCACCAGCATCTCCATCAGCTTGCAAAGTTGAATCATCCTCTTCATTTTTCTCCGCCTTCTTTTTCTTCTTTTCTTTCTTTTTATCAGCCACAGAAGGCTCTTGTGTATCTTCATCCATAGCAGAATTAGCGATTTGCCCAATAACTGAATCAGCTGCAGGATTATATGTCTACAAAGAAAAGAACAATCAGCACAGGCTTGAAATAAAATGGAAATTACTAACAATACCAAAAGAAGGAAGCAACAGACCTTAGCCGGAGTTATTAGTCCTCCAGCTCCTTTCTTTCGATCCTTGTCATATGCTTCTATCTTGGGCTTTCCTTTAGCAGAACCAGCAAAACGACCTAATTCTTTGCCTTCAAGGTTCCTCAAACGTGCTTCAAGCTGCACAAAACTTGTGTAAGAAAAGTCTGAAAGAAAAAAAGCATTGGCATATAGCTGAACAAAGTGTAATAAGCACCTTGGCTCTGTTCTCCAATCCCATGGTGTTATCTTGGCCATCTCCAAGCGCATCACACCTGATAGCCAATGCTGTCTTTGCAGCAAGAGACCTAGATATTTTCCCCTTTAACTTTGGAGCTGCCTGCCCTATAAGGGAGGCATGGTATATAAGCCCATACTTTGGGGTGGCGTGCTTCGTTTTCAGTGCCCTAAACAGAGCCTTCTCAGCACCCAGAATCTGCACAGTACTACCCGGCTGCTTTGCTAAATTCAATAAGCTACCGCCATGGGCAATGAGGCGAGCACCAACAAGCTCCCCAACCATAGCAGTCAAATTAGGAGCAATGGTGTTCATCCTACTCTTTAAATAATCATAGAGTTGTGCTCTGTACTCTGAAAGAGACAAAACCTGGTCACAGAGTTCTCTAATATTTGCCAAGTCAAGCTCACCAATTTCAGTACCCATAGAAATCACAGCCGCCTCCTTCAGTTCTGCCTCAACTTCTTCTGGCAAAATCTGTAATATTTTTTAGGATGAAAGATAAATGTTACCATACCTAAGCAGCTGCGTATTCAAACATACAAAACTTAATATTATAATTTGCCTAAAAGAGCATTATAGATTCATAAAAATATTACTTTCAGGTAAGGGAAGACCTAATAGCAATCAAACAACTCCACATAAAAAATAATATAATTATTAATGCTAGTTAATCATAGAGTACAGGGCTTTAGTAGATATAACAAATTAACAATTGTGTATATTAGAGGAAATTAACATTATATCTGTGTGAACTGCATATGCCAAGGGAAAAATATTGGCAGCACAATGTTACTAAATTTAAAAAAATCTACCTCAGAGAAATCAAGCTTTGCGGCATTAACACGATCACCCATCAACTTGACTGCCCTTGCATAAAGGATATTATCCTGTATTATTTTAGTAAGCTCTGGAAAATGCCAACCGTACCATTCTCGAACCCTCATGGCATATGTATTCAGCTCTTTATCAAGATCATCAAGTAAGCCAATAGCCTGGACAATCATCGTATCCACCTAAAAAAAAAAGAATCCAAAAAGTCAGAAAATATTTGTTATCCAAAAAAATTGGAAAAATATCAGGCAAAAAAATAGAAAACACACCTTCTCTGCACTAAACTTCAGCTTGTATCTGGATAAGCTATGAGATAAACCCAAACTCATCGGGGCCATATCTTGTACAGCTAGACCAGATATAAGTTCATTTAGATGATGTCTAACACCTCTCATCAACTCCATAACAACATTGTTGTGAATACAATCGATTTTCTGAAAAGTTAAAAAAAATAATAATAATAATAATTAGCTATTAGATGAGTGAAATGTAAACTGTCATCACAAGTTTCTAAGCGAACTTCAGTGGCACACCAATTTCTCCTTAATCACATTCCCAAGCTTTGAATCTGCTACGCCTAATTTTTCATTTTCACAATGAGCACGCAGGAACTTGCGCAAACCCTTGCTAGCTTTTCCATCAATCAGCAAAGTAGCTGCCTCTAGAGCTTCCGAAGTGTTGTCAAATTTAGAAAATGCTTTCAACTTGACCACCTAATTTTGAATCATAGGGTTAGCTTCATAAGATATCATAAAATAGAATAAATAATAGATTCACATGAATAGATTGAGTAGAGTTTCCCAATTGTCATATGGCAGTAATCAGCAAAAATATGTTTGACAGGGAAGAAGGGACAAAAACAAATGTAGAAAGAGAACCTGTCTAGCCGCATCTGCACTGGAAAATTCCTTCCATACGTTCTGTATTAAGAAGGAGGTTAAAAGTAAATCAATCAGAACAACGCAAGAGAAAGTGGGAAAAGGAAACACAGTACAGTGCATAGTTCAATGTAATATGAAGTCTAATAAATTTTAATTTCACACGCTACTAGCAAAGAGTATGCTGTAAGGAAGAAAAAGTGGCAGCTTATGCATTTTGTTACGGTAATAGTGCATTCTGGAAACCCATGCTTTAGGGCAAAAAGAAATATTTCCGAGATCATACAGATACAAGATGCAAACATTTCAAAAATTACAATTAGAAAACAAATTCATTTTTTTTCTTTTGAAAACGTAACCAAACTAATAGAACATGGCTTAGGAAAATGAATAAATACGTAAAGAAAAATTTAGGATAATTACCTCAACTTTAGAAAGCTTGCCTTCATCCAGCACTTTAAAAAGGGCAAAACCCGCAGGTGTTTCAAACAGCACAAGCATTTTATCACCTCCAATAAACCTGAAAAACAAAGAATCAAATCATACTGTTAATAACCTACATGAAAAAAAAAAAAAAATACAAGCAACTCATAAACACCAAACACTGCACAAACAAGCTAGCATTTTCTATCCCCCGCGAAGAGACACTATACTAACGCATTGATTATAACAACAAGCAAGTGTGAGAAAAAACCTAAATTAGGAGCTTGATCAAAAAAAGGGTTTAAGAGCAAAAACCCTCTATGCTAGGGTTGAAGAGACAGGTTACAACTCGAGGAGAAGGAGGCGGAAGCTAAACCCTGATTTTTGGTTTGAGGCATGAATTATATAAGGAAGAATGACATTCATATTGGGCCGTTGATGACATATAAGCCCAAATTATCCATAACCAATCAATCGGCCTGACCCAATAACATCCTCCTCGTTAAGAAAAATTACAAAAAACAAAAGCATCCTTTCTTATTGATATCTATCATACATGTTATTTTGGATAATGATTGATTTCCATTCGATATTTAGATTAGGTGTTTTAAATAATTTTTTGTTATTATAGTTTTCATCTTCTAATATTTGGTGTTTGCAATCCTATTAAACTTTGACTAGTCATGGACTCCAATTAAATCGCTTGAACTAGATATATAAATGTAGGTAATAAATATAATAGTCTAAGTGCGTTACGTGTATTATTTATTAGAACACGAATTTGAATCATTAAATGTTTTTTGTTTCTGAAAGAGATGTCAATAATAAGTTAAATTCAATCTTAATAACTACATTAAATATTTATTCAAGGAGAATAAGATTCTTATCACTTGAATAAAAAAATTAGTTTATTTTTTTCTTAAATTTAAATATAATATGTGATGTCCATTATTTAAAATATTTTAAAATCATATATCATCACTTAAAATGCAATAAAAATTAAAATATTTATTTATTACTTTACTTGAATTCATTTCATACACGAATAGTCGGGTACTAACTATATGCGCAAGAAAGTGGAGTGAAATATAAAAGAAGAGAAATCGAACTGTGTGATATTAATAATTTCCAGAAAAATAGAATTAGTTTTAGTTTGAGTCTTCAAAATATTAAATATCTAGTATCCGAATATTCATTATTTAAAATTCAGATATTTCAAACACGTTAGGAGTTTTCAGTTTATATTTGAAGAATGTAGTTTTTTATTTCCAATGAATTGGATATATAGCTTGTGTTAAGACATAGGAATCAATTAATACTAGAAATAATTTGATTTGTTTTGATTTATAAATCGATTCTGATATTTGGAACTCATTATAAAAAATAAATTTGGATTAATTTTGAGATCAATTCTTATATTTGAAATTCAATAAAATTGGAACTGATTTTATTTTATTTTATATTTATTATATTTTAACTATTGTGTAAAGTAAAATATAAAAGTTAATAAACGTGAAATAGTTTATTTATTTAAAACTAAATAAAATTCTAATAAATCCTATAATATTGGACAGGATTTTTAAAACTGTTACGATCTGATAGATCGATATGTCCAATCATAGATTGGTATGTTAATATAGGATCTGTGTGCCCTCCCTCAGGTACCTATAGGAAAGGTACCCTAAAGATAAGTGGATCACTGTGCACAATAATATAACGACATAGTCAAGGCGTGGGGTGTGTGCACAGCGACAAGCTAAGAGAGAGGGTTTAGAGTGGGTGTACCTTATTGGTTTAACCCCTTTATTTATAGATGGGTTACCTGGCAGAATTGGACTTTTGGGCCTCTCAGGAGCATTGGGGTCCAATTATTGATCCATTGCTGCCGTAGTAGGATTAGCATAATTAAGGAATGTTTCCTTAATTCCCTCTTAGTTGTTAGCCCTATTTGAGCCTTCTAGAATATAGGCATTTGTCAAGTCCATAACAGTTGCCCCCCAGCCCGGTAGTTGTTTGTCCAGGCTGCCGGGGTGAATTGTGTTGCCTTTTGCTTCAGGTTTTCTGCTGAGCTGAGAGCGTTTGAGTTTCTGTAAACTTTTTGCATATATGTTCCTTACATCTCACGCTTTTAAACTGGGGGGTCCTCATTGCCCCTTATCTCGGCGGGTTGATCATAAACCATGAAAACATTTCACGTACCGAGTTTGGGAAGAGCTTGAGTGGTTGGGATCCAACTGGCGAGTTGCCCCCAAGCATCATTCCATACGCACACGTTCTGAGTTTGTAGCTTTCTTCTGAAACCAGGAATGATTTTCCCTTGTCAACTATGTGGGCGGGTTATGCATGAACCCGGCAAGATATTGCACATGTGTAACCGGGGAACGGAAGATCTTGAGTTGTTGGGATCCAACTGGCGAGTTGTCCCCAAGCCTCATCCATGTAACCCGGCTAACAGTTGCCCCCCAGCCCGGTAGTTTAGTTTTTCAGGTTGCCGGGATGAAATAGCAGTAATCTCTGCATTTGAATTTCCTTTGCATATTTTATTCAAGTTAGCAGTCGAAATCTTGCTTTGACTTGGCATCTTTATTGAAGCAATTTTCTTCGGGTTGGAACTTTTCTTGGCCGATTTAATTGGGTCAGCGATTGCAGATATTATCTCTGTTATTCTGAGGTGGAATTTTAGTGAACCAAGTATTGAATATGTTGTTTCCATATTTCTCCCTCAAACTTTTTTGGCTGAGGTGGTGCTTTGGTGAGGCAGTGTTTGCCTCCTTTTAACATCGAGCTCGTAGTTGTTCCTTCCGAGGCTTTCGCTTGGAGTCCAACTTCTTGCACTGTGGCTTTATTGATTCAGATTTAGCTATTCAGCGTTAACTAAACAAAATGACCTAGCCAAGGTTTTTCATGCGGATTCCGCTTTTTGCTTTTAACCCAATTTTCTTAATTAGGTTTTCAAATTTGAGGCGTCATGGTGACTTGATCAAGGTCGTACCAATCTGCCCCTTATTTTTCAAGCTTGATTTCATTTATCACAGCTTGTACACATGTTGTTTATTTTGACAACGTTTAGGATTTGGAAGCGTCCTTCTGTTTTCCTATGCCTCGGCTAGAAGCCACAGTCCTGCAGTGTGCTTTTTATTTTTAACCCGTTTTCTATCCAGGTTCTTGCACATTGCTAGACATAGGTTTCCAATACCTTGGCTTTATAATATCTGACGTAGGTGTCATTTTTTGACTTCATCTTGTTTCATCGTTTCAGATTGGGGTGTGATCCTTTTTCTAGGATCCTATCTCTCCAAACCCGTCTTCATTCTTTATCATGGGTCTTTATCCTGGATTGGGGTGTGATCCTTTTTCTAGGATCACATCTCTCCAAACCCGTCTTCATTTTGTCGCGGATTGGGGCGTGATCCTTTTTCCCAGGATCTCGTCTCTCCGAATCCGTCTTCATTTCATCGCAGGTTGGGGCTTGATCCTTTTTCCCAGGATCACGTCTCTCCAAACCCGTCTTCATTTCGTCGCGGGTTGGGGCGTGATCCTTTTTCTAGGGTCACATCTCTCCAAATCCGTATTCATTTCATCGCGGATTGGGGCGTGATCCTTTTTTCTAGGATCACATCTCTCCAAACCCGTCTTCATTTCGTCGCGGGTTGGGGCGTGATCCTTTTTCTAGGATCACATCTCTCCAAATCCGTCTTCATTTCATCGCGGATTGGGGCGTGATCCTTTTTGCAGGATCCCATCTCTCCAAACCCGTCTTCATTCTTTATATCGGATTTTTATCTTGGGTTGTTGCCCCTCAGCCCGACAGTTTGGATGTCCGGGATACAGGGTTGTTGTGCATTACTCTTTATCGCATTGCGAATATTTTATTCTCAGTGTCTGGAAGTCGGCCATGTTCATGGTCCGAGCCTTGCTAGCATTTGTTGTATGGCTTCAGCTATATTGTTATGTTGACTTCTTTGCCGAAGTTTTATTGATTCATTGATCCATGTTCTGAATCCATAGATTCTTGTCGATCCGTGTTTCGGATTTAATTTTGTTCTTTCTTTGGTGTCGAGCTTCATGAGTCGGGTGCCGTGTGTACTAATTCAACATTCCTCCCTCAACCCTTTTGGCCGAGGTACGTAGCTCGGACTAGTTGACCAGTTTTTTTGACTGTCCTACCGAGATCTTGAAGTATAAGGTGCTGCCTTTAATTTTTGTTGCATTCCTGCACTTGCCCCCCAGTTCGACAGTCGGAAATTCTGGTTGTCGGGCTTTAATTCAAGCATTTTTATGTTTGAATACTGACTTGCCTTAGCAATTTGCCTTTTTGCTGATATGAGGATCTTTGAGATCCCTTTTCACTGATGTTGCGGTGTTTTGTTCCTGGTTCTCCGCATGTTTCGTTTGCAGAGTTAAATTTAGCCCAGTTTTATATACTGTAGTTTTATTCACTTGAGCTCGACTTTGCCAGAATCTCGTTGTGATATCGTCTTCTGTTTCAACCCGGGTGTGCATACCGTGTGTTTCACAGATTTTGATTTGATCAAAATCATTCACCTTTTTGAGTCTGGCTTGCATTGCCGTGATGTTCAGATAGAACGGGGTGAGACTCCCGCTGAATGATTTTGCCTTTATACTCGCATCTTGAGTTTTATGCGTCCCTGATAACTTAGATATATGTTTCTAAGTATTCGAGGTTCATCAGAATGCAGAGTTGCCTGAAGTATTCGTTAAATACTTCTAAGGACTTAGCATTCTCTTGATTTTGATAAACAAGCTTGTATCCTTGTTATCTAGGTTTGTAACTTAGGCAATTTTCTAAGAATATCAAACCTTACTCGAGTTGTTCCTCATCCGAGATGGGTTATTTTTACAACTCGAATAAATTCTTATTTTCGCAACTCGTGCATTTTACGATTTCCGGTATATTGACCTGGCCGAGGTCAAAGCATTATACGGATTCCGCTTTTTGTCACACTCCGTGACGCATGTGTGTTTTCACTTAACGTTTTGTTAAGTCAGCATTGATGAAGGTGATCATTGTCGCCTTCAATCATGACCTGGGTTTCGTAACCCGGTACTATCCAAGGTAAAGGCAGTATTGTCACATGTCCCACTTGGGTCTTTTGACCTTAATACGGAGCATTTCGACTTGATCAGAGTCAGCATGACAAATTGCGCTTATATCTCAGATTTATGTTGATGCATCAGAATCACAAGGATCCATATTTGTGAAGGTATGTACTTGTTCCCTCGTTTTACTTTAACCCGGATTCGTATACCGTGATTTTATAATATTCAACTCGGCATGTTGCCTGAGTTTCAATTTCAAAGGCGTCATGATGACTTGATTAGTGTCGCTTCAATCTGCCCTTT